CCATACACCCTATCAGTTTCCACTTATTATCTTTTATATATTTTTTATGCAATTTTCTTTTATAATTAATTTCCATGAAAAGAAAAAAAGTTATTCAAAGTAAATTTTCTTTTTAAAATTTCCCATACACCCTGTCAGTTTCCACTTATTATCTTTTATATTTTTTTTATGCAATTTTCTTTTATAATTAATTTCCATAAAAAGAAAAAAAGTTAATTCTCCTGGTTAGGAAAATTTCGCTGCTTTCCTTCTCCGCTTAGTAGATTCAAGTATAGAAGGCTATCTCCACTTGTTTTCTTTCACTGCCTTCCTGATCTTCATTGCTGCCTCAACCGATGAGATTCACCTTCAAATGGCGTCACCAATGGTTCGGTCCTCTTTTCCGTTTCCCAACAGACTTTTCAGCCTTTGATTTTATGTACTACTAGAATTTAGTACCGCTTATCATCTAAACTTGAATTATTTTCTGCAGATTGCATCATGTTGGTAAAAGCCACTACATATTCTGGTATCTGCATTTTGTTTCTCAAACCTTGTAATTGAGGAAGCCCAAGTTCTAAACCTGCTGGTATATATTTTTCTATCGCTGTGTGTTTGTGTTTTTTTCTTTTTTCTTTTTTTCAGCTTGATTTTTTTCTTCTTTCAAAAGCTTGATTTTAATATATGCTTTGCTAACTTCATCACTAAATTATTAGAGCTTAGTATATAGTATATTCTTTGAATTATACTCTTTCTCCTCAATCTTTTCCAAAGTATTTGGTTTTACAATGTTTTCTTTTCTAGTTTTTAATATTATATCTTTTTTCAAAATTTTTGTGGCAACTAGAAAATACATATCCGACCAATTTATGAAGAAGCCTTTTGCTAGATATATCCTTATTAAAGTTATTCCAAGTAGTTTGAAGAAAATTATAATTGTTGTTTTCTTTAAATTAACTATTTTATAATTGATTTGTATGCTTTTTTTTTTTTTTAATTTGCATGACAATATAAGCAAAAACCCTTCTTAAGCCCCTAGACTTACCCCAAATTAGCATTTAAGCCCTCCAACTCCTCAACCGGTGCAAATAAGCCCTTCAACTTAGATTTGTAGCAAAAGTGCTGACACGTATATTATTGTGTTGACACTCTTAAGTAATTTTCAGTTTTAAAAACTTGTATTTTTAATTTAATCTTATTTTTTTGGTACTTTCCTTTACCCTAATTAATTTAAAATCGATTCGAGTCAGATCTCATAAGAAAAAAAATTCTTTTAGTACGTATTTCTCTATTTAT